GGGTGTCCAGATCTGCCCTTCAAGACTCTGAGGCTGCCCTTCTTTTCACCTCGGAGCCGGCGGATAGTCTGCCAGAATATTTTGTTTGCCGTGTGGAAATTCATCAAGAAAAAGAAGGACGACATCAGTCAAGAAAACGTCAACGAATGCCAGGTGATTCAGGGTGATATGGGTAAGTGCCTGTTGTGGCTGCGTACTCTCACAGTAATACCTGCAGAAGTGGCCGAACTCATTTTTTATGGCCACGACAACTGCCAGCATACAAATGCTGAGTGTTCCGCAAGCTTTCTCGTCTTAGAGACCTGAGGAGAACAGTTTACTGTAGACAAGAAGAGATCAAAGTTGAGAAAATGGAAGACATGGACGAAAGCTGACGCTTAAAACAACATGAAGAAAAGAAAAATAATTGACAGAGAATGCTTACCTGCTTGCCAGTTCAGCAGTCGCCATACGACGCAAGGAATGTAAAAAAGAAGTGCTTCTAACGACAGCACAAAAGGCACCCATTGGTAGTAGCCGATCTGGCGGTGCTCTCGCTCTGCAAATGAGGAGGGGACATAATCGTGCAGCGGTAACCAATAGGTGTTCTGAACCCAGCAGAAATGTTCCGTGTACTGTTCCATCGGCTCGGTGAACGTCGCCGGTACCCAGCATTGGATCGGATAGCCGACGTACTGTTTGGCCGACACCAGAATGGCGAAAATGATCAGCAACGCACTGGTGTAGTAATAATTCAGTTTGTCGATGATGTCGTCGTCGACATGCAGTTGGGCATTCTTGACGGCGGACGAAAAGTAGTAGAGTAGCATCATAAGGGGAGGGCGTATGAGGTCTGTAATCAGTGTAAACAGGAAGACTAGGATTCAAGCTGGATAGAAAGGGAAGACAAGACAGGCATAACAGTTACGCTCACCAGTGACCAAGAACTGAACGAGGCGTACCAGCGGAAGAGAAGGAAGAAGCGAAAGAAATCAGGGCACTACGCCACGGCGTCTGCTCTTTGCTTCCGGCCAGACAACGTTACTGCCTTTAATCAAAACATCGCGCAGGTTGATGGTGACCACCACGGCTCTCCTCGGCTTCTAAACGAGGTATCAAATTGCGGCAGTGACGACGAAAGGTGACGAGGTAAGCCTACAACGAACAAAAGCGATGATGAGGCTGGTCATAGAATAACGAATCGTTTATCTTCCTTTATACACACACATCACACGCGTCAGGTTTGGCTTCATGGGAGGAGAAAACTAGTTGTGATGGCAAGTCAGAAGTTCGTCTGAATTCTCTGCACAGAGGTATGTCGCGCGATTCTAAGCAGCGGGGGTCCTGCCGTGTGCTACGAAGCGAAAAGCACTGGCAGAGAGTGACATGCGAAACGCCAGTGAAATGAAATGTACACCTCCTCACCTCACAGTCGAGTGCGCAGCAGTCGAAATCGCCGCTTTCGTCATCGGCGTCCTGTTACGAAGAGTGACAGATCTCGGAAAAGCCTCATCACCGCAATGACATACGAGAATGGCGACGACACTTGCGCTCCTCGTCATTATCTACTCCAGCTCTGCGTTTGTTCGTTAGGCCGCGTGCGCCAGCGAATGCACTGTTGCCGCGATGGTCATCAATTATAGCCATATTCTTCACGGAACAACCTTTTGGTTACCTGACGGTTTTTCACCTCTTTTTATAAGCTTTACATTGTCTCGACAACTCATTCACACTTCGAGTAATTCTTCAACATAACTGGTACAGTTTTGATGATTAATAGCACCACTAGCACATCAGAATCAAAGTCTTTATTTTACTTAGACTGTTTCGATCAAATAACGTCACAGGTCGTGAAGACAAACAGTGCTGCCCCTGGCAAAGACGATGATCTCATTGTAGACGGATGGCGCAGTTCAAGATATCCGGCCAGATATCTTGCTGACCAGGAGTAGGCAGATGATATTGTCCTGGAGAGTTGTGGCGGAAGCGGGTTCTATAACTTGAAACCTTCGCTATGCATCACGGCTTCGAATTCCTTCCTTTTCCTTAATTCCCTAAAGTCAAGCGTTATGAGGAATCCATTCGGCATAGCTGATCTACAAGACCAGTCTTAGGTAGGAGAATTTCACAGCTTTAGGTGCTTTTGGAAACCTGTCCAATATTTGGGCTGAGAAAGGAGTAACTCTTTTCACAAAAATCTGCCTGTCAGGTAAGTGTTGTATGTCATGGAGAAATTGTTCCAACGAAAGAACAAGAACAGCGGTTGAATTGCTTGCAGCAGCCTTGGCTTCGACTCGTCGGGCTTAAATAGCAACACCACGTAAGTAGTGACTCCTTTCTCTTCGAGGAACAGTTGACCTCAGTAGATTCGGAGATTAAGGAAGGAAGTTTGACCTTGTTGCACCAGTTACTTGAGCATGAACGGCTTACCTTAGTCTGAGGTGAACTTCTGGTTGAGCGGAAACATGGCAGACGTTGACCAGTAGGCCAATGTGTAACTTGGAGGTACAAAGTTGAGTCATACCTACCATCAGGGAGAAATATATTCGTCAGCAATGCAGTTAATGTGCCGGTGCCTTATATAAAAGTCCTGTAAAACTGTGAGCACTGCATCACGGAGCAGAGACATTCTGTCTTGCAAAGGCACGAACACAAGGCATACGATGTTGGAAGATGGCGAATTTAGAATAGTTCATTAACCACCGAATCTGTACTGTTTGTTTTTTGTGTTTTAAACTACTGCCGTGATTTCTGCCAATTGTTTGGTATATAAAGTATGAAGTGTTTTTTTTTCATTCATAAAGTGTGCAGATAATTGCATTGCAGAGAGGCGTAAGAAGAAGTGACGAAAATTGAAGATCATTGTTCCTCAGTGGTTCGTAATGTTGAAAATGAATGGATTCTAAGGGGAACAAAAGTTTCGGAGTTACTGTTGAAAAGAGGGTATCGCTTTGTTAAAAGTATGTAATATCGATACTTTCTAGGTGGTTCCAACCGAGAATCATTTTTCAACAAGTTCTATGCTATTTCAAGCAATGTTTTCCCGAACCTGCCGATTATCGTTTAATAAGGTAACGGGAATTATTACTCGTTATTCTCTGCGAGAAACCTAAGTGCGCCGTGACGCCGTATGCTTTTGACTCACGGCACCATTTAGCGAAACAGACTGCACCGTTTGGAATTGCGTGGAAAACCAGTTTCTTTGTACTCCAATGGTGTCAGAGAGATTGCACAGAAAGGCTTTCGTTGTAAAGAATGAATTCATATCGGTGGAAGAATTGGCTCTTACGCCTACATGCAAGGAACAGGAGAGAAGGAAAGGATTTAACTGGTAGAAGATCAGTTTTCCTTACACTTACGTGGTGGAGCCAATTCTAACGCCCTTGTTTCCATGAAGTTAATGGTGAGGGGCTCTGATCACTATTTCCATATCGTCAGCAAGTAATGCCTTATTGTTTTTAAGCGCATAATCGATAGCAGCTGTGTGACAAGCATAGTCTGTATTTTGCTGTTTCCTTACCACTCATTTCTTGGAGTGGTACTCATTTACCAATCTCAAAAAGAAACAAGCGAGCAATGCCACCAGGAATCGATCCGACGACCTTTCAGTTCTGAGTCCGACGCTTTTCCGACAGAATAATCCGGCTTGAAGCAAAGTTTGGTAAATTCT